ATAACAAGAAGTATATATATTTGATGGGAGGAGCAATTGGTGGTATTTCCACAAAACCATTAATTGATTTATGGAAATTCACTGAGCCTAGAGCTTAAAGTTAAAAGGTCATATATTAGAGAACAGAGCGTCTAGATTAATTATGTTTATTTAAAATCGTAAGATCAATAATTATTCGGTATTGTAAAACTATATTCGTACTTATAAAAACATATACAACAATATGGCTAATTAATAATGCGTTTCTTGACGGGAATGGCATGTAACGGATTGGTCTTATGTAACGTAAGACCAAAAGTCTCGTCCATGTCCAAATCCTTAGAACCAACACCAATTGGAAGCTTCCAATCAAAGGAATAAAGAAGAGAAGCAAGCATGAGAGAGACAGTTTTCAGAGCTAAAGTCAATCCTGGACAAATTCTACGTCCGGCTCCAAACGGTGTAAGTTCATAATCTCTACCTTTCACATCAATTTCTTTCCCTAAAAACCTCTCTGGCTCGAACCTGTTCGGATTCTCCCACACGTTCGGATCTCTTCCAATGGCCCATACATTCACAAGAACTTGAGTGTCTTTAGTCACCATGAACCCAAGAACCTCAGCATCAGATTCCGCTTTTCGCGGAACGAGTAGAGGAGCAGCCGGGTGTAACCGGAAAGTTTCCTTCACAACAGCTTGTAAATACGGTAGTGCTGATATATCAGACTCTTGAACGACGCCGTTTTGGCCTATCACATGCTCGATTTCGGCTTGAGCTTTCGCCATCGTTTTAGGGTTACTAAGTAACTCTGCCATTGCCCATTCTAGGGTACTAGAGCTCGTATCCGTTCCTGCCGTGAACAAGTCCTAATACGTACGTAATGATTCATTATTATTGTGTCCGTTTTATGTTAAGTCATATGATTCTAGTATATGCAAATATGTTTAGTATATGTTTCTAGTGATGTAATAGACACACACACAAAATATGGTAAGACTTACCAAGAGAAAGTGTTCAATAACATTAGTGTTGAGCTCTGCTTCATCTCCTTTGGTAATAAGATCGAGAAGCGCATCCACGACATCGCTGTTTGTGACATCTTTAGGGTTATCCCGCGTTGATTTTTCTGCTATTTTAGCATCGATAAAACCACGGAAAACCCTAAACAACCTCTCGCAACCCTCCTTCGTCTTCTTTCTATTATCTTGTAGATCAAGAAACCGAAGAAGTGGAAAATAGTTAGCTGCGTCTGGATTTCCGACAGCTTCCATGAGACCAATCACCGTGTCCTGAAACCCATTGGACATTTTCGAGTCGTAGCTACCTAGATCGACCGAAAACAAAAGGTTCGATATGATATTAAGAGTTGTGATGAAAGATGCACGAGAAATATCAACAGCTTCTTCTCTCTCGCTGCTTTCACTCATGAAGCTCACAAGTTCCTTCACTTTGTTCACTCTCAAAGCTTTTGTTGCTTCGATACGCTGGGGCGAGATGACCTTAGTCGCTAACAATTTTCTCAACAATCTA